TTTTTTTAACTTTTTTTTTTTACAACTTTTTTTAACATCCTGACATCAGAATAGCATAGTGGGAGCATACAGACATTTTACTACTGTGGGGCTTGATCAGAGATTTTTTTTTTACACTGCTATTGGTTATACAGTGATGATCACTGTATAAGCAATAGCTGTCATAAATGGGTTTCCCATTCATAAACAGCTTGCCTATAGTTGTGACAGAAGGGGCACACTGCTCACCCCATCAGGCTTGCAGTGCGCTCCTAAACCGGAGGAGGCTTGATGATGGACATGTACGTGGTCAAGCCTGCTTCTCCTGTCCACCCGCATTATAGTTACAGTGGGCGGGCAGCAAGTGGTTAAAATATACTCTAAGAAAATAAAATATACATCCATATTCAACAGGGAGCTCTTATTCTAAAGTGTGGCATCAATCAACCATAATTCACTGTGCTGAAGTCTATTTGGTTGTTATTGGTTACTGGTCTTAAGCAGTTGCTAATATCTAAGATATTTCCATTCAGATTTGATTTCTTTAATCCCATGATATACCATGGAGCTATATATATATAGCCCCACCCCCAATATTGCACCCCAAACCCCAATCTTGCCATTCCTCGGGAAAGAGAACTAAAATAATGCCAAATAAAGGGTGTGGCCAAGGGTCATAACTGAGTTTCACACACAACACAAGGTTTGGGAAAGTATAACACTCAGAGTACTGGACATAGGAGTGCATAACACACAGGAGTGCGCATTGCTCAGCGCTGAGGAGTGTGTATCACAAAATGTGCAGAAAAAAAAAACAGCATCCCTGTCCACAGCTCACACTCTCCTCTTGTCCACAGCTCACACTCTCCTCTTGTCCACAACTCACACTCTCCTCTTGTCCACAGCTCACACTCTCCTCTTGTCCACAGCTCACACTCTCCTCTTGTCCACAGCTCACACTCTCCTCTTGTCCACAGCTCACACTCTCCTCTTGTCCACAACTCACACTCTCCTCTTGTCCACAGCTCACACTCTCCTCTTGTCCACAGCTCACACTCTCCTCTTGTCCACAGCTCACACTCTCCTCTTGTCCACAACTCACACTCTCCTCTTGTCCACAGCTCACACTCTCCTCTTGTCCACAACTCACACTCTCCTCTTGTCCACAGCTCACACTCTTCTCTTGTCCAAAGCTCCCCTTCTCCTCCCTTGTCCACAGCTCAACTCCCCACCATCCAGAGCTTTCCTTTTCTCCCCTCTTGTCCACAACTCACCCCCCCCCCCCATCCACAGGTTACCCTCTTCCCCCCTGTCCATAGGTCACCCCCCATCCACAGCTCACCTCCCCACCCAATCCTCAGCTCCCCTTCCCCCCCCCATCCACAGCTCGCCCTCTCTCCCTTCCTGTCTACAGCTCACTCTCTCCCTCCCTTCCAGAGGTCACCTTGTCCCCTCATCCACAGTTCACACTCTCCCTCCCTTACACAGGTCACCCTCCGCCCCCCCATCCACAGCTCACTCCCCCCCATCCACAGCTCAACTCCTTCCCCTTCCACAGCCATACCCCCACAGCCCAACCCCCCTTATTTACCTTAGCATGTGCCCCCCCATCCACAGCTTACTTTATTACCCTCGTCAAAACATCACCACTGCACCCCCATCCACAGATTATCTCTCCCCTCTCCACATTTCACTTCTGCACACCTATCTACAGCTCACCCCAATCCACAACTCTCTGCAATCTCCCATCTTTCACCTCTGCACCCCCACCTTCCCCCACATGTCTCTTAACTCTGTACAAATCCCCCAGCCCACAGCTCTCACTTTGCACAATCTACACCCCCCCCACACACACACACACCCAGCTCCCATCTCCACAGAACACCCACAAGTTCTCTACAGCTGTCTCTCTGCACAGTCGCCCCCTCCCTCCCCCCATTCCCTCCATGGCACAGTTGCATTAGAATGGTGCAGCTGACTCTGTTCTATTAGGAGAGTTTTTTCTCAGCCTATTGTTCAGTCTCATCTGTGCAGAGGCACATGTCAGATCCGTGTAGCAGTGTAGCACAGAGCCAAAACCCTATAACACACAAAAGCCGGTGGAGGAATCGAGTAGTATAGCAAACTTCCTCTATCTTTTTCTGTGTTAAGTGACAGCCTACAGATGAGAGGGCTTCTAGAGGTGGAAGAATGCCATTCCACCACGTCCAGCTGAAAAAAAGCCCAGCAATTAGCCATAACATAATGACTACCCTCCATAGCAGGGCTACCCAATTAATACTGAGTTGGTCCCCCTTTTGCCACCAAAGCAGCATTGACCTGTCGAGATATGGAAGCCACTAGACCTCTAAAGGTATGCTTTGGTATATGGCACCATAGCAGATATTTTAAGTCCTGTAAGTTGCGAAACGGGGCCTCCATGGATCAGATTTGTTTTTTCAGCACATCCCACAGATGTGCAATTGGACTGAGATCTGGAGAATTTGAAGGCCAAGTAAACAGCTTAAAGACACCTTCTTCCATTTATCCCATGGTTCATTCCTGATGCTCATGTGCCCATTGTAGGCACTTTTGGCTGTGGACACAGGTCTGCATTGGCACATGACTGGTCTGTGGCTACACATCCCCAAACACAGCAAAATGAGATACACTGTATGTTCTGACACCTTTTTCAGCAATTTGAGCCACAGTGGATTCTATTGGATTGGACTACAAGGTCCAGCCTTCACTTTCCATGTGCCTCAAAGAGCCTTGGCCGCCCATGACACTGTCAGTAGTTTATTGGGTTTCCTTCCTTGGACCATATTTGGTAGGTCCTGGCCACTGCAGGCGGGAACATGCCACAAAATCTGCAGTTTTGGAGTTGCTCTGACCCAGTCTTCTAACCATTACAATTTGGCCCTTGTAAAAGTCACTGAAATTCTTACATGTACCCAATTTTTCTGCTTAGTATATCCCACCTAGTTTCAGATGCTATTGTAAGGAGGTAATCAATGTTATTTACTTCACCTGTCAGTTGTCATAATGTTATTGCTGATAGGTGTGTGTATATACTGTATATATACACATATAAAGCAAGATTTTATATATATATATATATATATATATATATATATATATATATATACACACAGTATATATTGCTTCAAACACGGCCCAGTTATTTAAAGTGATTCTAAAACTTTGATTTTTTTTTTATTTAAATAAGAACATGTTATACTTACCTGCTCTGTTGAGCTCTGTTTACCTGCTCTGTCCTCCTCTTCACTGATCCTCAGCAAGGGTGGACTGTCCATTCCAGGGCTCGGACACTGCCCGAGGGCCCAGGATCAGTAGTAGGGGGCCCCATGAGATGCCCCTGGTACCTTTCATAGGCTTTTTTAGGTGTGGTTGGAGTGTGGACAAAGACACAGGGGCCCCATGATCCCCTATTGCCCACGGGCCCCATGAGTTACCAGTCCGCCCCTGATCCCCAGCCAGTGCTCCTGGCTCCTCCAATTCAGTTAGTGCCAATAGAAAACTGCTCCCCCCCGCCCCCCACTGCCTTATCACTGAATGTGATTAACAGCAGTGGAAGCTAATGGCTACATGCTATCAATGCTATCAATTTGCCCAGTGAGAAGGGAAAGAAAGCAGAGAGAGACGCTGCTCTTGTGCACATTGCTGGATCAAGAACTGTCTCAGATAAGTATAGTCGGGGGAGGCTGGGGGGATCCTCTGATGCAGGAGGTTTTTTTACTTTACCTTTTTTTTTTACTGGGTTGATATTTTGTTTTTGGGGTCCATTGTTTCTGGAGGAATCTATGGTTGCTGGGGAGGGGTCTACTGTTGCTGTCTGCAGGGGATCTATTATTCTTGTTATCATAAACAAATCCCATGCAAATTATTTAGCTCTGTATTCTCCAAAAGGAGGGGTACTGGGAGGTGGGTAGGGGGTGGAAACAAGGGACGTGTGAAGGTCCTACCTTTCCTCAGACCTTGTGCTGCTCCATGTGCTGGCATCCATCTTAGGTGTCTGAAAAGCATTGTGGGATCCTTTATGCTTTCAGCCCTCTGTGGCTCCTCCCCCAGGAGGTGGCGGCTTATCACATACAAGTCTGCTGTTTGTGGCTGTCCATTGCATTCGTGTCCTGTCTGTTGCACAACAGCAAGCTCCTGTTTAGCTACTCATTGCTTTCCTGGATACCGATTCGGCTTCGGCTAAGACTCCTCCTGGCTTCTGACCCCAGCTCTGGCGACCATTCTTCCTGGCTCCTGATCCCAGCTCTGGCGACGATTCTTCCTGGCTCCTGATCCCGGCTTTGGCGACGATTCTTCCTGGCTCTTGACCCCGGCTTTGGCTACAATTTCTGCTGTTGGACTTGCATAGACTCTTGTCTTATTTTTATATTTATAAACCTAACTTTAATTGCACCTTCTTGTGTGTCTGGCTTCTCGCTCCCTGACAGGACGGTGCGCAGATGTGTTTAAATGGTAGAGACAAGACTCAGGCGGGGGGAGTTCCTGCACCTATTTTTTGAGAAAAAAAGCCCTGTGCCAAAGTATATGTATTTTTTTAAGGCCTTTCCCTCTTCTCAAGACTTGCTAAATTGTAGCCTTTCAAATTTATCATCCACTCTTGATTTTCATCAAGCTAGACATTCATTCCACCAACTGTGTCATATGCTTTCAAGGTAATATTTATTTCATAGAACTTTATTACATTATTCAACATAAAAGTGCAGCACTCTCCACAAATAACTACATGCTAACCAACTCACGTGTATGCAAAAAATTATGCTAATATACAATGCACACACTCGAGTTGGTGAGGTATAATTTTTATGGCATTACTAGTGAGATATTTACTTGGTATAAGCTGCTTTAATAAATAATCCTAATTGTAGGGGATAGCGTGGTCTTTGAGTTTAGTATGTCATAAAACTGAAATGGAACATGTTTTGAGCTACATTTTGTATATAAAACTGTGTACTGTATATAACCCAGATGGTATAAACTGGACGTTATATATATATATATATATATATATATATATATATATTGTGACAGTGTGGCGATCTGTCACAATGTTGAAAGGTTATTTCACCCGGGATTCCCAACAAGGCAGGTTGAGGGGCTCCAGGGTAAGTGTTTGATACAGAGGAAAGTAGCTTTTCACTTTCCTCATTTGTTTGTAAGGTCCAATTTGGGACCTGGAACCTGGAGATTTCAAAGCAATTTGGGAGGGAAGAAATCTGCAATCCTGGAACCAGGTTTTGGGAATGGCCAGGACACTGATTGCACATGTGTGTGCAGGCCTTTTCATAGAGGCCTAACCCATGATTCTGGGCTCCCGGCAGACAGGAGTCAGGAGGGCTCCACCCTGGCAGACAGGAGTCAGGAGGGCTCCACCCTGGCAGACAGGAGTCAGGAGGGTTCCACCCCGGCAGACAAGAGGTCTCTGCCTTGGAGTCAGGAGGGCTTCACCAAGGAGAGGTGGAAGCCAGGCTAGCTGTGTGCTAGTGGTCAGCTGTGTGCGAGAGCCATATTTTTGAAAGAGTCTGCAGGAGACGGACGTAAGCCTGAAGTGGAAGGTCAGAGGAAAATTGTGTGTACAAGCCAGGAGGCTGAATATTTGTTTGATGGTGGATACCCCTGCGTGGGAAGCTTTATGAAACTTTTTCTTTAAATAAAAGTGGACTAAAAAGGCCTTAAAAAAGAAAGCGAGTTGCTGTGTGCTTTAAAAAATGCTCTACCATTTGAAGCGAGTTCCCACAATATATATATATATATATATATATATATATATATAGTGCCTTGAAAAGTATTCATACGCCTTGAAATTTTCCACATTTTGTCTTGTTACAGCCAAAAATGTAAATGTTTTTTGTATCTATATATCTCTCTTCATGTGTGAAAAAGATGAATAGTAGGACTATTTCAAGTGGAAGCCAATAAATCTATTCATATGTATATTTGGATTGTGTGAAAAAACTGACATTTGGAGGGAAATCCTAATCAAATTCAATCCAGAAATCCAGCACTATAAGGTGACAGCCTTATTGTGCTCCATTCATACTTTCTGTTCAGTATGTAGAATCCTTCTGTAAATTTAAAACAATTACAGTAGCTGAAAATTGAGTGCTCAATAAGTCAATCAAGCAAATTGTTCACAATTATCTGTTTTCTATATTTTTTAGCATTTCTTTGATTAGCTTGTCTGTCTACATGCAAACATTCAATTACTATATGTTATGGTTCCTGGAAGAATAAAGACAGGTTATAGCTGAGCCTGCTAGGGTGGTAGCATAATCAGTTATAAGATAAGCAATTATGTTTGAAATGGTGATATACAGAGCTTTTTTGTCACATCATGTCAGTGATGACAGTGAATGCTGCTGGTCCTCAGAGGATATACAAATGATGGCATCTTTACAAAATTAAATTAAAGTGCAATTTTGTTCGGTACATGTTTTTTTTCCATGCTTCTAGGTGATTGTAGCCGTATTAGTGCACTTGCCACAGAAACAATTGAGAACATACCATGCTTCTAATCACTGTAGTTTTTACACTATAAAGAACATTGCATTATCCATCCACTTATCCTACATAGAATGTTGAGGAAGGTAGGCTAAGCCAGTCCAGACCGGGGCGGGCTGACAACTCATGGGGCCCCTGGGCAATAGGAGATCATGGGGCCCCTGTGTCCTTGCCCAAAGTCAAAAAAGCCTATGAAAAAGGTACCGGGGCATCTCATGTGGCCCCCTACTGACCCCAGGCCCTCGGGCAGTACCCGAGTTTCTAAATGGTCAGTCCGCCCCTGGTCCAGAATATTATCCACCAAGCAATGGACAGCACTTTTGTCTAACTCAGTGTAGACTCAAGGACCATAAGTCAGTCCCTACAGCGTTCAAGTGAACCCCATCGCTCCGAAGATACTGCCAAGTATCAACCTCCAACTTCACATGCTGGACCACCAGCCCCCCCATTGCGACTAAAGAAGTTCCCCACCTCCTTGTTGACTTTTATACGGGCCTTGATAAGCCGCTCTACCAATTGCGCCAAACGCCAAGAAGTGCGGGCAACCATGTCAGACCACACAACCACCATATCCGGAAATTCCCTGCGCAACCAAAGAAAATCCAACTTGACATCCTGCACCAGTTCCCGCATGGACCTAACCCCCAAATCGTTGCCGCCCGCATGGAGCAAAAGAACATCCGGTGGCCTGACCAAGCAAGCAAAATGCTGCACCTCAGGGAGCACTCGACCCCACAACATACCCGGCACGCCAATCCAGCGGACACAGGCTGACTGCCTAGACAACCCCAGCTGTCTGCCATTAGGCCGCACATCAGCCCGCCTGGCCCCCCAAAACACATAGGAATGACCCAGGATCCACACCAGACACACAGCACCACCTGAAAGAAAAAGGACAACCAATACAAGCAGAACAACACACCAGAGCAACAGATAAAAACTACAATCCAGGGGCGCATGCGCGGCCGGCTCGGGGATGGACGTGCAGTAGTGTCGGCTCCGTCCACCCGCCAGCAACAACGCGGCACATACCGACTCCAGGGGAAATAAATAGCACACTCTGACAGCCGCAGTGTGCCCGCAGCCCACTAGACATGCCCCGCAGGAAAAAGAGCTCGGGGCAATCAGGGAAGCTTACTAATTTCTTCCCGGCCGTCATGCCGGGAAACCAAGATGGCGCCAGCAATGCAGGGACACAGGGAGGCAGCAGCCCTTCTGAGGAGGACTACAGAGCCCAGAGTGCAGATCCTAGGCTGCAGCAACAGCTTTAACCTGGGGATCCTGGTGAGTTGTCACCTCCCTTATCTCCCACGACCAGAAGCCCGGCCAAATCTAGGCCACGACTGGACTGTGACACTGATAAAATAATACAGGCCCCAAACCTTCCGCATCAGTTACCTCATATGGCCATGCCTACCATAGACGCATTCCCTGCGTCCGATCAACCACTCTCCGAGATAAGCATGAAACACATGCTTGCGTCCTTGCGGCAAACCCCTGCACAATGATATATCTGCACCTCTTAATCAGATTACCACCCTAGTGCAGCAGCAAGATCGTAGAATTCGCCATATTGAAACCAACATGGGAGACATAGTGGCGGCACACAATGATTTGATTGATGCCCATGCGGATCATGCGTCCGATATCGAACAAATTCAACTAAAATTAGCCGACTTGGAAGATAGATCACGCCGTAATAATATAAAAATCAGAGGGATCCCCGAAACAATTATAAATGAGACACTGCTGCCGTATCTACAGCACTTCCTCAAATTACTAATACCAGCACTCTCCGAAGTAGAGGCCACGATCGACCGAGCGCATCGACTTCCTAAGCCCTCATTTCTATCGGCTTCTGTACCTAGAGACGTGCTTATCCACATACACTTCTATCATATCAAGGAGAAAATTATGTTAGCGGCTAGAAACCCGCCACCACTCCCACAGTCTCATGCGAATCTATGCTTATACGCTGACCTATCCAAAGCCACACTCTCAAACAGGAAAAAAATGATATCAATCACTAAAGCCTTAAGAAATCATGGCATTGCCTACCAATGGGGCTTCCCCACTAAACTACTAGTACGGAACCAAGGTAGAACCTATACTGTCAGGAGTCTGGAGGCCAGCCTGGACCTCCTTAAAGCTTGGAGAATTTTGCCCTCTGATTTGCGGGAAAACACGCCCAGTTCCATTCAAAATATGGAGGCGACCTGAAGGGCGCAAAGGCACATGCTGCACCTATATTCTATTACATCTTCCCCCCGAGGCCATCTACAGGCCCTACAACTGCTGGCACTCGGCCTAAATTCCATGTTTTCTGTTTTTCAAGTTTTCATCAGACTCGACCCCCCTGGAGGTCTAGACTTGTTCATACTCCTCCTTTTTGAAGTAGCAATCAAAGCTACAATGGTTACTTGCGTTATCTGCAAGTTTTTTTTTTACTGTTGTTTCTCCCTCTCCCATCTCCCCTCTCTCATGGCGCCACCGAATACATACTAAGAACACACAACTTGAAATAATCTACCAAACAACAACCCAACTAGTTCTATACCTAGGAAATAGGTCCAATGATCAAGATCACTTCACTTAATGTCCGAGGCCTCAACTCCCCCTTCAAGAGATCGATGCTATCTAGAGAAATTCGGAAATCTCGAACTGACTTACTCTTTATACAAGAATCCCACTTCACTACGGAAAAGACCCCTAAACTTTATCTTCACAGCTTCTCTCAACTATATATGGTGAATAATACTAAGAAGAAAAACGGAGTAATTATTGCCGTTAATGACTCTCTAGCATTTAATTACACCTCTTCCATAGTCGACCCGCAAGGGAGATATATTATATTGATATGCCAAATTAACGACATTACCTATACCCTGGTGAATATATATGGTCCAAACAGCAAGCAACTAAGATTTTTTCGCAAACTCTTCAACCTCGTCTCCAAGCACAAACAAGGGAGGCTCATTATTGGGGGGGGACCTTAACGTTCTCAATAATTCTCATATGGACTCATCCTCCAGCAAAAAAACTGCCAACCTCGACCTCAACCACGTTTTACATGACTACGACCTATACGACATCTGGAGATGCCAGCATGGCTCTGAAAGAGACTACACATATTTTTCACCACCACACCTTTCGTACTCAAGAATCGATATGTTCATCACTGATAAATGGGACACTGCAACACGTGTCATCCTCCATGATTGGTATTATAACCTGGTCTGACCATGCCCCGATCAGCATTTCCCTAGATGACAGCCAACGGTCAGCAATACCACCCATATGGAGACTTAATTCCGCACTCTTGAAATCACCAGAAAACCAGAAGTATATAATGGATGCCCATAATCTCTTTTTTGAAACTAATGCCACCCCAGATATCTCTATCACCACGCTCTGGCTAACATACAAAGCCTACATGAGAGGTATCCTCATACAACTAAATTCCCGTATTAAAAAACAGAGATCCCAACCAATAGACCAATTATTGGCCTCTATACATGCAAACGAAGAAATTAACAAACAGAATCCGAATCCTTTCTCATCCGCGGCCCTAAATAGAGATAGAAATAAATTACGTGCCATTTTACTACACTCCTATGACACGAACCTTCAAAAAACAAAAACACAATTCTATGCACTTGGCAATAAAACAAACTCCCTTCTCGCCAAAACCATCAAACAAAAAAGACTTAAAAATAAAATCTCTATAGTCCAACATCCAGAGTCGAGAACCCCAATGTCGAACCCACAAGACATAGCTAACGCATTTGCATGCTACTACCAAACTTTATATAACATAAAGGATGACCCAGATACGATACAACCAACGAATCCCTCCATCAAAAATTTTCTAAGTCACACAGCTCTTCCTCGACTCTCCTCTTC